CTATGTTGATCAATAACTAATGATTTAACTCTTATAATTTGTTAAAGAGTCATGTTCAAAGTGATTAGTCTTATAATATTTGATTATGTATCTAGGATTTGGAAGATACAAGAATAATTGAATTATTTGTGGGAAATTGGGAAGTCATTGGACCTTATGATGTTAATTCGAGATTTATGTGCTGGGTTTGAATTGTTATGTTACATACGATGTTGAAATTAACTATTGACTATTGATAAATGATAATTGCGAGTAAAATGTGAAATAAACTCGATAATAAAAATAAAATAAAGAATTGATGGATTGTTGTTTAACCCCTTGAGGGTGGTGTTGCTTGTTATGGAATGATTTGAGCATGTTATAATGTGTTGGGCTTTGGTAGCCATGATGTGTTGTATGTAGTGTTGGTACCCACGCGGGAATGAGGTGTACCACTGGCCATCCGTGTGAGGACGGAAAAATTTGGAAATAGGTGCTCCATTGGCCATCTGTGCGAGGATGGAAAAATATGGAATTGTGGTGTGCCACTAGCCATCCGTGTGAGGACGGAAAAATGTGGGCTTTGTCTTGAAATTGAAGATAGTCCATACTATACTTTTATATAAAAAGGTTTCTTCTCATAAAAAGATGGGTTCAATAGGAAATCACCTAGAGATAAAATGTGCATGCTTCATCAATTGGTTGTTGGGTTGCTTAGTAATGTGTGTGTATGTTGAGCTGTGGTATATGATCAAGGGTGTGGCAAGTTATTAGAAAGAGTTGGAGTTATAATCTGTTATACTAAATGGAAGTTAAGCTGGGAAATGGTAATAACTAATCAACTCATGTATTACTGGTAGATGGTGAAATGGTCCACAAGAGTAAAACTTATCTACTGTTCTAAAGGCCGGGAAAAAAAATGGAAAAAAAAGTCTACTCTTTTAAAAGTGTTTATAAATGTGGAAAAGTATTTTTGGCTACGAAACGACATTATCAACATTGTAGGTATCGCATGAGCACTCATGATCATTCTTATCATTCTTATCATTGTAGACCCCTACTAGACATTCGTGCTCATCCCTGTTGTTGAAATTTTGTTTAGGTATTAAAGTCAGATGTGGCAACCAAGAATCAGTGAGTCACTTGCATGTTATGTTCTTTGGATATTGGTGAGCCTATGCTCATGTACTGAGGTAGAGATGTACTTTAATATGTTGTAACTAATTTATGTTTAATATTGACTTATAAGCCTGAGGGAATTTTTTTGTTATTCTTTGTATTGGAATGATTCATCATTTGTATTATACGAGAGAGGATATTGTTGATTATTCCTTTATACTTCTTTTGACTCCTATACTTTGTAATTGGACTTAATAAGGATTTTGGTATAATATTCGAGTATTAGAATTTGAGGGTGTTACATGGATTATTATACTCAAGTTGCTTTAAAAGGACTCGAGGCACCACAACCTCCCCACCTTATAAAATTTCGTCTTCGAAATTGAACCAATCTCTTTTGCAAGAACATGTTCTAACCCAAACAAATTCCAAATCGCAAGATTATGCTAAATAACGACAACATGATCATTTAATACAATTTCATATGATTCCCAGTTTCATTAACTTTGATGATTTTCACGAAATCTTTGTTTTTCACGACCACGTGGAGTTTAACAATTTACAATTGGCAATTACATGCCTAATTTCCACGACAACATTTTACTACACAATGGCCTCAAATCAACTAAACATTATTAAACAAATCAGGGTATTTAGAGCAGACTTCCGCCTCTTGCTCCCAAGTTACCTTCTCAATTCCATGGTGTCTCCACAACACTTTCACTAAGGGTATGGTCTTGCCCCTCAACACTTGTTCTCGGACATCTAAGATTTGGACTGGTAGCTCTTCATATGAGGCATCTTCATCTACCTCTAAGTCAACCCAATCAAGCGTAAGCGAAGGGTTAGTTTCATACTTCCTAAGAATAGATACATGGAACACATTGTGAACCTTGGAAAGTTGTAGTGGTAAAGCTAAACGGTATGCCACCTTTCGATCCGCTCTAAGATCTTGAAATGTCCAATGAACCTTGGAGATTATTTCCCACTCTTCCTAAATCTCATCAAACCCTACCTCGATGAGATTCTAAGAACACACAGTCACCAATCTCAAAAGATAAAGGTCGTTTCCTTTTGTCGACATAACTCTTCTGTCAGCTCTGAGCCATAACCAGCCTCTTTCGGATGAGAGCAACTTTCTTGGTCATCTCTTGGACTAGTTCGGGGCCAAACACTAGTGCATCACCTACCTTGGCCCAATAGACTGGCAATCTCAAGATCGGCCATACAGGGCCTCAAACGGTGCCATCCCAATACTCGCTTGATGACTATTGTTATAGGCAAACTCAATTGATGGTAGGTGTCTCTCCCATGACCCTTTGAAATCTAGGATGCAAGCTTTAAGCATATCTTCCAAAATTTGTATAGTGTCTTTGAATTGTCCATCGGTTTGAGGGTAACAGGAGGTGTAAAAGTTCAACTTGGTTTCCAATGCCTTTTGAAAGCTTTGCCACAATTGGGTAGTGAAATGAGGATCTTTATTTGAAACTATGGTCACCAGAACCCCATGAAGTCAAACTATGCCTCTAATGTACAATTTTGCCAAATAATCAACTGAGTCGCATGTGCGCATAGGAATGAAGTGTGTAGACTTGGTCAACCTATCCATAACCACCCTGTTACCCAGGTAGGCAACCAAAGAGTGGGTGAATTGGGTTAATAAAAATAAATGCAGCAATTTAAATGTAATAAATCAAGTAAATAAATTTCAGCTAACAATCAATAATACTGAAAATAAAGAGAAATGCAGGAGAGCTCAAACACAAGGATTTATAGTGGTTCGACACAAGGGGCCTACATCCATTCCTTAAGGTTCTTCCTCAAGAATATCTTCACTATGAATCAAATCAGTACACCACCAAAACTTCACCAAGCTTGTGGATTTTACACATGACTTACTTTATCCGTTGAGTACCTCTCAACTAAATGCCTACGAGACTTACTTTATCTGTTGAGGACCTCTCAACTAAATGGCTCACTTTACAAGTTTTCACTTAGAATAAGAGCAAGAGGTACAGCAGTCATCTTTTAGAAGATTTCTCTCTCAAAAGATGTATATGAAAGTGCAAGAGCATAGGGCATTTTGAGATACACTCTAAATTAACTCAGATGTGAAAGTGAAAGTACAACTGTAATGTGTAGTAGAGATTGATTAGGAATAATACTTGAATGCTCGAGATGATGTGCTGCTCAGATCTGGAGAAGTACAACATTTGTAGACTTCAATGTCTTCTAGCCGTTGGAGAGGAGCATAAGTGTGTCTTCTAGCCGTTGGAGTAGAGTATGGGTGATGTCTTTTAGCTGTTAGAGCAGAGCATGGGTTTGTACAGGCTGTCATCATGCCTTTAGAGATGGAGCCTTCTCAAAAGATGTGATGCCCATGCTTATAATTCAAATCTTGGTAGATGGAAGATAAGATATGTCTCTACGCCTTTCACTTTTTTAGATTTGGGAATGGTATGGATAAGATATTCTACATTCACTAAGTTAAAAGTGGCAGCTCACAACTCTTTTGAAATAGAATAAGACTTGTCCCTTCAGTTAGGTCAGAAAAGTCTGTTCAAGATTAGAAATGGCGGCTACGTTTTGAAACCCAGACTTAATGGTGCTGACCCCTGTAGTTTTGGTGTCGAGTCTTTTCTTTCTTTTCTTTTCTGTCTTGACTGTCATATGTTCTTGGTCTCGACCCTCACTTACATGGGTGTCGACCCTCTGCTGCTAGAAGACTTAAACTTTGTTCTCTGTCTTTTGGTGTCGACCTTGTCATGTCTTGGTGTTGACCTTTTGCTGTTGGAAGGCTTAAACTTTGCTCATTGTCTTTTGGTGTCGACCTTGTCATGTCTTAGTGTCGACCTTTTGCTGTTTGGAAGGCTTAAACTTTGCTCATTGTTTTTTGGTTGGTGTCGACCATTTGCTGTTAGAAGACTTAAACTTTGCTCATTGTTTTTTGGTATCGACCCTATCATGTAACGCCCCGAACATAAATACAATGAACCCATTATATATGCGAAAGTATAATCAAAATACATGCTTTCATTACTCAGAATTGAATATACAAAAGTAACAATTACAAAGAGGAGTGAAAGCTACACAGTTAATCATATGCCTTACTGGCTTACATCTTTCCAAGTCACTGAAAATGGCTTCATGGCCAAATCATTTTTATTTTAAAACTCAATGAGAAATCTCCCAATATAAGCCAAGAAGATTTTTGCACAAATGGAACAACTTGCTGATTACAATAAATGACAAGCTCCTCCTGTCAATATGCACTAGATCTTTTACAAATAAGAGCTAATCTCGGCTCAATTTCATTGAAAGAAATCACTAGCTATTGTTCCATCAAAACAATAGCCTCACTCAAGCATAAATGAAGTATATCAATCAACGTGTGTGCACTGTCAATCACTGTGTGTGTTGCTGGTAGTGTATAGTGAATCAATAACACATCTTTCATATTGATTCATGACTATATCAAAACAAACCAAAAATTGTACCACAATTGTTTGTTCTACCATGTGCAAAAGGATATAAGTTCATATACATGTGCAAAAAGATAAAAAACTATCCATCCAATATCCAAGTTCATATACATTAAAGCTAAAACTATAATTCTTCTCCCCCTTTGTCATCAACAAAAAGAGGGGTAAAGAGAAAAAAAAAAAAAAGACTAGTGAAACGGAGGAGGCTCATGGAGCCAATGTGAAGCTGCTTCACGCCAACCTTGCGCGAACCAAAGCATGAATTTTCAAATTTGTTTGCCAAGATCGTCATCACATCGTTGTTAAAAAATTTGACAAAATTCTTCGTTGGAATGCTTGAGGACAAAAACAACTATCACCATGTTCTCAACACTTGCCTTGGTAACTTCAATTTCCTGAGATTGTTGTACCCTCATATTATCAATTTCTTGTTGCATGTCCATTGCCAGAATGAATTTGTTGAACCATAGAAGCCAATTGATCAATCTTTTGTGCCAGATCAGATGAAGGTGGAATAGAGGCAGACTGAGAAGATGATGGCATATTTGACACTGGTGCAGATTGGGAATTAAGATTAAGGTTATTAAGCTTGGAGTTCAGTTCAACAATCCCTACCAAAAGTGGTCCTTGAACCAAGGAGTCTAGATGATCAACTTTTGTGGAAAGAGAGAAAATATCATGAAGTGTAACAGAAGAGAAAGGACCAGGGGTGGAGAGAGACATAGGTGAAGAACTTGGAAGGTTAGGATCAGTGGAGAAAGATGGATCAAGAGTTGGTGGAGCAGTGACAGGTTTTTTAGTTTTGGTCCAAACATTGTCAATCAAATAATAACCTATGTGACTAAGAGTTATTAAGCCATAAACAGCAGAGTCTCTACGGATTTTGTTTTCACATTTGAGGTTAATTTTGAAATGTTTAAAGATCTTGGTGAAGATCATTCCATAGGGTAGGGCTTGGTTGTTTCTTTTGTGGGCATCAATCATGACTTGACAAACCAAATTCCAAAAATCTATAAAGTATCCAGTGGAAAAGGCCCAAAGAAGATAAGTGTGGCCATAGGTGACTGTATCAAATCGACCTTATCGGGAAAGGATGTTATGGTTTATGATGTGATGTAACAGTCTCAAAACAAGAGTTAGGTCTTTGCCAGAAATGGTAATGTGTTTATCTAAGGCTGGGTTATTGGTCAAAAATTGAAGACCTATAAGATTAGTGTAGTTAGGAGGATTTCTGCTTAGGGATAGAGAGATACGATGACCATCATTGGAAGGTTTCAAAATGGAGTTAATAATGGAGGGTTTAAGAGTGAAGGAATCACTCCTTACAAAGCACTCCAGGGTGCTAGGAGCGGATTCCTCATTATAGGATAGATTTGCAAAGAATTCCTTAATGAGAGTAGGATAAACATCACAGTCAAGTTTTAAGAGAGGTGACTATTTTTGGTTATCAAACCATTGTTTAACAGGAAGGCTATGTTCTTCGAAGAAATTAACATCAATAGTTCGGCCAGATAGTACCTTTCTCAGGTTGAAATCTTTGTTGAACGAGGCATTGCATTCATTATTTTTGAAGTGTTGTAGAGTAGGGCTTGGAAGCATGGAAGTGATGGTGGTGGAAGTGGAATGCTGAGTGCGTTTCTTCGATGGAATTGAAGGAGAGGCCCTCAAAATAATTACAAGAATCCAACTCCAAACACCAATACAAAGTGATATTTATATAATAAGAAGCTTTCATTAATCAGAGTTAATATATAAAAGATAACAATTACAAAGAGGAGTGAAAACAATACCGTTAATCACATGTCTTACTAGCTTACATCTTTCCAAGTCACTGCTTGGTTACAACAAAAATGAGTCATAAGCTCAATACACATAAAGCCCTAGGCTTGCACAAAAAGTTAATTACAAAATAAACACCATTGAACCCTCAGCTCCACAATCCTCCCAAGCTAAGTCTTTGGAGGAGGCATATCACCAACACCTGAAAATGGTTTTTCCCAAATAGGGTGAGCCAAAGCCTAGTAGAAACAATCTAACACAATATATGAATCTTAACAAAGATATAAGTATAATGTGCATATATAATGCCTGCGATAAAATCATTCATAGTTTACAAGATCATAGTATGCCAAGTTTTATATCTCATTTCATTGTTCATATCAATTTCGTTCAATCACCCAATACTGAGAATACGACTCATTGGGTCTCAAATCAATACAGTTATCATACAAACACATTCATTTTCTATTTTACAAAAATTTTGTCCATGAGATTGGCACCCATGCATACAAGCGGTTTTTGGGACTTTCACCCTTGACACACAGGCCAACTTAATTTACTGGAGTTCATCCCCTTTTTTCTCTCAAACATGGAGTACATCCTATTTCTCCTCCAAACATCATACATATACAATGTATTAAAACGCAGTCATGTTCAATGATAACCAATAAGAAATTAGTTTTAATTCACCTAAGCCTCATGCAATTTCTACAACAATCATAGCTATCCTCCACCGATAGCCCAAGAGAGATATTTCTAAACAGATATATCTAAATAGATATATAATCTCCAAGACAGATAAATTATCCAAATTTCCATATGTGAGAGACAATACACATCCAACTCCACCATTTATATAAACATTCAACCAATTTCATATTTCCAATACCAATTTCATTATTTATACAAAATAATTATTTTAAACATTTTAGGGCAAAACTTCATTCTCCCTTAAATCCAACCCATGTGTCAAAATCAACAAATTTAACACAACACACCCTCATATCTATACCCATAACCATTTTCAATACCTTCATTTGAAAGCCCCTTTTTTTATTTTAAACCAAAACCTTAGGTTTGTCTAAAATCCTTCAAATCTCAACATTATTTACACAACAACAAATAACTACGTTAAAAACCATAGGAGAGTGTAGAAAGTCTCTACCTCAAGCTTAGAAGACCAAAGCAACAATGGAGGAACTTTGAAGATGCCAAAACCAAATCTTGTTCAAACCAAAATGCAGCTCTTGAGACGCTCTACCATTTTAACAAAGTGAGTAGGGTGGAGAAACCATTAAATCTAGGTGAAAAAAGTAGAAAGAGAGTGAGTTTTAGAGAGAGGAGCTCTAGATCTAGGGTTTTGAGAGAGAAAGTTATGAAAAAGTGATGTAAAAAGTGATATTCTCAAACTGATATATGCATAGTCCGCTCGAGCGCAAGAAGTGACGCTCGAGCGCAAGAAATGACGCTCGAGTGCAGAATGCACACTCTTAGTAGTATTACAGACAACAGACCAATGTTCAAGCGCAAGAAAGGCCGCTCGAGCGCAGTAAGATCATCTCGAGTGTAGAATACACTCTCTCAGTAGTTTTGCAGACCTATAAAATACTTAAAGTTCACAAAGCTCGCTCAAGCTTAAGAAGTGCCGCTCGAACGGAGGAGCAGAATTCTGGGCAAAAAGAGTTTGGAAACCAAGCAACCAATCTATCCTAAACGCAACCACAACAATCCTAAAGCCAAATTTAAGGAGATACAAGGGAAGTAAGATATAAACAACAACATGGAACCAAGAAACTCGAGTCTAGGATGCAAAAGGGTCGGGTTATAATCGGAATCGCTATAGTGAAGCAAAAATAACTTGGTGTCGACACTCGCGAAGAGAGGTGTCAACCCTTATGAATAAAAACACAATAGGGGTTCACATAGTGTTGACCCTATAGGCATATGACTATAAATTAAACCATCAAATAGGAATATTCATCATGCCAAGCACAGTTCAAATAAAGTAAATTTATTTCTCATTGAGAGGCTTGGTAAAAATATCCGCCAATTGATAGTTTGTAGGCACAAATTCGAGTTCAATGTCACCTTTAAGTACATGATCTTGTAGAAAATGATGCCTTATTTCAATGTGTTTAGTGCGTGAGTGCTGAATAGGATTTTTTTGAAAGATTAATGGCACTAGTGTTGTCACATTTTATAGGAATATGGTCAAAGTGAAATTATTGTTTCATTCAAAGCATTTGTACACAACAACTAGCAGTGGTAATGTATTCCGCTTCAGTGGTTGATGTAGACAAGCCCACGGGGGACCTCGCTACAGCTCGGACTCGACTTTCGTTAGTCACGGTTCTTAATCTGAACCAAAGAGTCCAAATCCGGCAAATCGTTTTGAGAAAAACAGATTTTTGAAAGAAGTGCCAAACATGGACTGCTTTGCCAGATACAGAGTCGCCACCTAAATATTTTATTTTGGGAAATTTAGGAAACCATAATTTGCAAAGAATCTTATACTAATTTCCAGTTAGAATTTCAAGAAAATGAAGATGGAGAAAAAGAATGTCTGTAAGCAATCAGTACCCAGTTGAATTCTTTCCATTAATAAGCCATAATAAATAAAAAATTATATTTATGAAATCTATGAATTAAGTTGAACATTATGAAGTGGGGCAAACACAGACCGTTGGAGCTTGCAGATGAGAGAGAGAGAGAGAGAGAGAGAGAGGAGAGGAGGTGTGTTTGTCTTGGGATTGTTAGCAGATGAGAGAGAGAGTTGATATATATTAGTGGGTAGGTAGGTGAGAGTATATAATATATATTAGAGAGAGATGAGTACATAATATATATTAGGCGGGGCAGAAACGGGGACGGGGTCGGGCCGGGGCCGGGGCGGAATTTCTTATCACCGTCCCCAGCCTGAAAATGACCGGGATTTTTTTTTTTTAATACCATCCCCGACCCGTCGGGAGTATTTTTCGGGAAAAAACTGTATTAATCGGGGTCGGGTTCTCGTCGGGCCGGGTTTAAATTGCCATCCCTAGGCCTAACCAAACACAAGATTGGAGAGGAGGGGGTGGGAGTGCCGATGCTAAATTGTATTAATTTAGATATTTTGTTCCAATAACAGAATGATCCTTAAGTCAAGGAGTTAGAGACGAAACTTCATTTCTTTCAAATTGATTTAATTCTTCTTGCATAGTGAAAATCCAATTTTCATCACGTTCGGCTTCAAAAACGGTTTTTGGCTTAATTTGAGAAACAAAAGCTAAGTTATCACAGACATTATGAATAGATTACACCTTATGTTGCATCACCTATGATGAGATCCTTAGGATGTCCATAAGAATATTTCCATTCTTTAGGTAGATCATTTTCCTTTTCTAGACGAGCGTATTCTTTTTGAGATTTTCCATAGACTTCATCATTTGGTTTCGAAGAATGATTTTCATCAATGTAAATGCTTTCTATTCTTGGATTAGTTTCTGCAATATCTTCACTTATAATATTCTTGGAACCAAAGGAATTAGATTTTATCAAAAGTGACTTGTAAAGATTCTTTAACAAGTAAAGTTCTTTTATTAAACACACGGTAAGCTTTACTAGAATTAGAATGGCTAAGAAACACAACTTGATCAAATTTATCATCAAACTTACCTAAATTATCTTTATTATTATTGAGCACAAAACATTTACAACCAAAGGCATGCAAATGACCAATATTAGGTTTTCTACCTTTCAAGAGTTTATATGGAGTTTTCTTGAGAATGGATCTAATCATGGCACGATTCACAACATAAGAAGTAGTATTAACGGCTTCAGCCCAAAAATATCTAGGCAAATTATTTTCACACAGCATAGTACGAGCCATTTCCTCAAGAGTTCTATTCTTTCTCTCAACAACACCATTTTGTTAAGGAGTTCTAAAAGTAGAAAATTAATGATCAATACCATGCTCATTACAAAATAGAATAAAGTCATCATTATCAAATTCTTTACTATGATCACTTCTAATACTACAAATAGCAAGACTAATCATATTCTGAATACGTTTACACAAAGCAGAGAATATAGAGAAAGTATCACTTTTATGTGCCAAGAATAACACCTATGTAAATCTAGTATAATCATTCACACAAACAAGACAATATGACTGTGTTTGGTTTGGTTTTGGGAGATAAATTTTCAAAAAAAAAATTTGAGGAAAGAGTTTAGAAATTTTCTTGGTTTATTTGGTTGTATATTTTGGAAATAGTTTTGGAGTATGAGAGTTTGGGATGATTTGATATTTTGTTGTAGTTGAGTAGATGTATGTGAGAGAAAAAGTGATTGATTGATGTGTAAGAGATAGAAAGTGATTTTGGAATTTTTTTTTCAAAATCACTAAACCAAACAAAATTTTAGAAAATTTCTCCAAAAATTGTTTCTCAAAAACAAACCAAACAAGGCCTATGATTTTCCACCCAGACTAAGTCCTGTATGGTCCAAGCAAGTCAATATGTAGCAATTAAAGAGGTCTAGATATAGAAATAACATTTTTGGATTTGAAAGAAACTCTTGTTTGTTTACTTTGTTGACAAGCATCACAAAGCTTATCCTTTTCAAAAGCAATTTTTGGTAGACTAACAATTACCTCAAATTTTGAAAGTTTTGAAAGTAAATCCATATGAGCATGTCCTAACCTTCTATGCCATAACCTACCAGATTCAGTAATAGCAGATAGACACTTAACATCATAGCAGGAAGATAAATTATGCAAATCAAACACATACACATTTTCATGTCTATGACCTACAAATAAAACTTCATTAGTGAGATTTTTCGAAATTAATTCTATTACCTTCATAGCATAATTGGCTAATGCTAAGCAAATTATGTTTCAAACCTTCAACTAGCAAGACATTCTCGATAACTGGAGAGTGAGCTTTACCAATACTACCTGTGCCAATGATCTTCCCTTTGCTATTATCTCCAAATGTTACATAACCTCCTTCTTTAGGTTGAAGGGATAAGAACATTGCTTTATCTCTGGTCATGTGCTTTGAACATGTACTTTCGAGATACCATCTGTTGTTGTTGGATTTTGTCTTGAAGCACACCTGCAGAATTCAGATTTTTGTTGGCCTTTTGGTACCCATTCTTTCTTAGGTACATGAGTTAGGGTTTGAAGTGTTTTTAGGAACCCATTTCTTTTTCCTTCTAACAAAAGAATTTTTCTTAACAGGATATGAAGGAGAAATATGACCTTTTCTTCCACAAAAATGACATGTGATATATGAATGACTTGATGATGCATGGACAAAAACATTTTTAGGATTTTTTTGTAGCACTTGTACCCTTTAAAGTTTTTGGGAAGTGTATTTGAATCCTTTATTTTATTTTGGAAATCTTTGGTGTTGTTGTATCTTGGTTTTGGAGGAGTGCAAATCAATTTAAACTTGTTGGGATTGTTCGTTCATGCTTGTTTACGTTGAAAAACTGTTTGGGAACTTAGAAATCTTGTTTTGGGGTCGACACCAATCTTGGTAGTGTCGACACTTGCCTTTTGTTGTTGGCCTCAAGGGTCGGCACTGATCTGGAAGGGTCGACCCTTGTCTATTGTTGAATCTAGAATTGGCTGCTAAAATTTGGTTGATACCAGGGGTTCCAAGGGTTGACCCGTGCTTACTGCACACATTAGTGTCTCAGCTTTTCTTCTTGAAAGGTCGACACCTCTATCTGAAGGGTCAATCCCTATGTGTAATTTTCAGATTTTTGGGTCGATTTGGGCCCTACTTTTTGGGGGTTTTTTGACTTGTTCTTTTCATTTGACTTTGAGGCTATTGTTCTATTATTACCTTGCTTTTCTCTCTCTACATCGTAAGCTTCTCTTCTCTCTCTCTAAACTCAAACTTTTTCATTTAGATCTTTAGATCTACTCACCTAGAGTGATCTTTTCACTTTGGTCCTTTTGAGAAAGATTGTAGATCTCGTCAAGGGCTTTCTTTTTGTCCGAATAGTTCATGGTTTCGTTGCCGATGATTTTTAGGTTGTCTTCTCTTCGCTTCAAGAGGTAGGGGTTTCTAGTTCTCCTTACATGCTCACATTTATAGATCGATTTGTGATATTTTCTTTATATAAATACAAAATTTACATTTGAAGCATATTGTGAAAAATCATGGATTGGGGTTTAGGGTTCGAAGAGTTAGGGTTTTCTTGTTGGGTTATTGTGGGGACATATTTTGTGAATGACAGCACGTGGCCAAGGTGACGCCGAAGAGTCAGCTGAGGTGCCACGTGGCCTGGTCCTGATGCTGAGGTGATCTTGGCTAGGCCAAGGTTATCTGAGGAGATGCCGAAATTTGAGATGAGCGAATAAGGGACAAGAGTCCTAGAACAGGGGAAGATCTCAGCCTGGATAGAGGCAAAGCTCTTAGGGAGTTTATCCCTATCTAGCTAAAAGTCTAAGATGAGCATTGAGCCTAAGTCCACTAAAGTGAGACTTCTACAGGGATAAGGTCAGTATTGGCTATAAAAGTAGGACATCCTCATAGGTCTCAGGTATGTGGGATGTATTGTGAGCAGTAAGTTCTTTCTTGTGAGTTAAGCACAATTTTTTTATCTTTGAGACATATTTGATTACTAACTTGATCGTTGGAGTGCCTCCAGGTGGACGAACCACCGCCGAATTCTTATTTTTCTGTGACAGGTTATTCGGGCTTAATCTATTCTGTCGGTGCTCTCCAGTTGAGTTCCTTGTTTGGTTATGTGGTCAGAAATCAACACCCACAATTTGGTGCTGTCTGTGGAAATGTAAGGAGAATAGATGGCCAATAACGGGCAGAAAGAAAAGATCGGGAACGACGTCCCATGTAAGAGTGGTAAACATGCTGATCCTAACATCGAGGAAGAAAATCATAATGAAGGAGAATGGGATCAGAATCCTGGGGATAAGGACGTCGGAAAGGAGGGAGACGCCTCGAAGAAATCAGGTCGAGATGAGTATTACAACGAAAGCGACCTTCAGGTATGGAAAGATAAATGCTTGAGGAGGGACTGGGAGATGAAGGGAATGGCCAACAAGTTGGCAGATCTGCAATCGGTTGTCAACTTCATGATGCAGAACAATGTCATGTAACCACCATTTCCATTGCAGGACACGCCGATACCAAGGGCTAGGACTGATGCCCAGAAAGGGGGGCAGAAAACAATTCCAGCGATCCCGTAGCATGGCAAAGAAAATAAGCCCTTACATCGGCATTCACAGGATGTCGGGCGAAGAAAGTCGGTCAGAGGTGACTCGTAGAGGACACCTCGTACCAGGGGAACATATGTCAAAGAACCCTGGAATATCCAGGGGAAGGGCTTGTGTTTTGACAGGGTGAATGAAGAGAAGTCCAAGAGGACACATAATGACACTGGGAGTAGCGCACCAAGAAGACTGAAATCTATTGATAGCCGAGCTCCTAGTCAGACTAAGGAGCATTTGAGGGACTACCTCCAGAAATAGCGGCATAATACCGAGGTCATATCCCCTGTCAAGTCGAAAACGCCGTTCTCAATGGAGTTGGATAGGTTTGAGGCCCCAAAAAGGTTCCATATGCCGAGGTTCCAAATATTTGACGGTAAGTTCGATCCGAACTTTCATGTCGGCTTATATCTGAATTCAATGGCTTTGTATACCGGGAACGAACCATTGCTGTGCAAGGTATTCTCCTCATCCTTTAGGGAAATTGCATCAGATTGGTTTCACAAATTGCCGAAAGGAACTGTGAAGAGTTGGGAACGCCTGGCCGAGATATTTGTGGCCAAGTTCATTACAAACAAGTTGCAGCCACTACGGGTAGACTCCCTGATGGCTCTGAAAATTAGCGAGGGTGAACGCCTCGGGGCTTATGCCAAGAGGTATTATGATGTATTCAACCGAATATCGGGACGCAACTAGGAATTCGCGGTCGTGTCTTTTAAGAATGGCCTGGAAGATGAATGCCCGTTTGAAAGTCGCTGGCAAAAACTCTACCAAAGAGTATAGATGAGCTCATGCCACGGATCGAGAAATATGCCAGAGCAGAAGAGGACATGTCGAGAATGAAGGCACCAAAATAGGAGAAGAAGAATGGCTCACCGAAATGAGGCTGAGGTAATACTGGTTTTAACAGGTAGGAAACATGGCTGAGGGCTGCACAGGCACTCACCACTGTGTTTCGAATCCTGGTTTACAAAGTTCTAGAAAGGATAAGGAACCAGCCGTATTATAGAGCGCTAGAGAAGGTCTCCGATGAGTTCATGAGAAGGAGCCTTGGGAAGCACTATGCCTACCACAATGAGGATGGGCACCTGACTCAGGGATGCATAGCCTTGAAGACGCACTTGGAAGACTTGGTTAGACTTGGTCACTTGAGGGACCTAGTAGATAAGGCCAGAACAAGGGAAGAGCATGCAAAGCTTTCCTTAGCACCAGTGGCACCACCACCGCTACAACAACAACAAGCAGAACCTCGGGTGATCGATGTGATTCATTCGAAGATTAAAGAGAATGATATGCAGGGAGAGACACAAAAGGTGAGGCACTTACAACATATGTATCAGGTCCAACAAAAAAGGCTTAGGAAAAACGAGTTCTAGGGACCAATGGTGTCCTTTACTGAGGCAGACCTAGACATGGTGCAGCATCTGCACAACGATGCTCTAGTAGTGACCTTCAAGATAGAAGAATGCCAAGTAAGGCACATTCTGATAAACCAAGGTAGCTCTTGTGACATCATGTATGTCAGATGTTATAAGGAGCTTGGCCTTCACTGAGATGATTTGGAGCAGTCGAATAGCCCAATGGTCGGGTTCAATGGAACGCCGACGTGGCCTTTGGGAGCAATAAATTTGGAGGTGCAGGTAGGCACCAGGAATGTTAGCACAGAATTTACAGTAATTGATACCCTATTCCCTTACAATGCTATATTGGGAAGACCGTGGCTGCACGCAATGAGGGCTATTTCCTCAACGCTACACCAGTTGTTACGATTTCTAATTGAACAGGGGATTGAAGAAGTTAGAAGGGATCAAGTGCAAGCAAAGAATTACTCCATGGCAACAATGACATCCAACTGCAATGTGTGAGAGGTAGAAAAAGTGGAAATCGAGAACGAGGACATGAAAGTTCTAGATGATATCGGCAAAGAACTCGCCGAGAAGAGCGAGGAAGCCTTGAAGAAAATTTTGGTCCAAGAAAGGGATGAAGAGCGCTTCTTCCTTCTAGGCTCAGGCTTGGCCGAGGATGAGGAAAGGGAATTAGAGGCTTTCTTACGGGCCAACATGGAAATATTTGCCTGGACACCATATGAGATGCCAAGCCTTTACCTCGAGGTCACATGTCATATGCTCAATGTAGATAGGTCGACTAAACCTATCATTCAACGGGCAAGGAGGTCGATGTTGATTCATGTGGAGGTAGTAGAAAAGGAAGTGGACAAGCTGTTGGAAGCTAAGGCTATTTGGGAGGTGAACTATCCAACCTGGCTGTCTAACATAGTAGTTGTGAAAAAGAAGAATGAGATGTGGAGGGTCTGCGTAGATTTCACCAGCCTAAATAAGGCTTGTCCTAAAGACAGCTTTCCTCTCGCTAAAATTGATCAGCTGGTGGATGTCACTTCAGGGCATGGGAGGATGAGCTTCCTGGATGCTTACAGGAAATACCAACAGATAGCAATGTATCCCCCTGACGAGGAGAATACTACATTTATCACCTGAAAAGGGTTATACTGCTACAAAATGATGCCTTTCGCGTTAAAAAATGTAGGAGCAACCTACCAGAGATTGATGACCAAGATGTTCAGGCATCTGTTTGGCAAAACAGTAGAAGTGTACATTGATGACATGGTCGTGAAGAGCAAAGAGCTTGGGAATCATCTGGCCAACTTGAAGGCAAATTTTGATATCCTGAGAACATATCAGCTCTGACTCAATGCTTCGAAATATGCATTTGGAGTTAGGTTTGGTAAGTTCCTGGGATACTTGGTTACCAGAAGGGGCATTGAGGTAAGCCCAGATCAAATCAAGGCCA